ACATTATTCCAATCTGTTATTAATGGTTTTAATGTTAAAGATTCGGTATTGAAAGAAATATATGAAAAATATAGTAAAACACCATTATTTGTTCCAGCTCAAATAACAACTGAATATGATTTTCCACCAAATCAATCTGTTTCTAGAATTAATTGTTCAAATATGATGAGCTATCTAAATACATCTATGTTATTCTTCTTATTCCCAAGATCTAATAATCAATGTACAGTATCTAAGAATCCACATATTAGTGATATCAAAGTTATAACAGCAAACAGAACTATACCAGATCAACAGATGGGTACATTGTCAAGTGAATTTAGTGAATTCCAATTATCAAATACCAATTTTGATACATTATTTGCAACTCCTCAATCTATAATTAATAGTTTAACGTTTAATGAATATTCTGAAAATACTAATGATTCATCTAAACATATCAAATATCTAGGTGATGCTACTGATTTAATGATGCCAATTTCTTTAGAAAAATATGGTTCTGGATGTTTCTTTGATGGTATATATAGTACTTCGAATATTCAATTAACATTACAAGCAATACCTATGTTTGGAGATTATAATTCATATATTAAACCAAGTGGATCTACTGGTTCAGTTAATACTAATGCTATTAATATTATTTTATTAAATGATGCTATGTGGTCATTATCACCAAATAAGGTTGAACTACTTACTAATGTTGATTTAGATACGATGTTCAAATAAAATAATAATATATTTAATCTTTATTTTTAGTAATAAATGGAAGTATTTACAACAGCTTACCAAGATAAAAGTAAAAATAGTATTTTTTGCACATCATATTTTAATCCTTTTACAATAACATCTAATGAAATTAAAACTGATTAAATTACAAGCATAGATGGAACAGTAAGTATAAATACAAAAGATATTTCTTCTACTGATTATGTAAATTCTGAAATATTAACATATTATAATAAATCTAAAAGTTACAGTGATAATGTAGCATTAGTATGTAATACATATTCTGATATGATTGCATCAGCGTGTAACGCGTATAGCGACAATATTGGTTCTTCATGTAATGCGTACACAGATACAAAAATAGATTCAATACCAACTCCAAAAATAATATATCCATATCCAAATATAATTTCACAAGACGCAACAACATATAAAAATGTTACTTATTCTATTAAATCAGAAACTGATAAAACTGCATATTTCATAATAAAAATTGATAATGTTACAGAATTCTTAACAACAAATAGAATAGTAAAAGTAGTTCCATATGTAATTACAAATAATGAAATTTATAAAGTTATTGAACAAATTAGTGGCGGAAGTATGTTGAATGAAAAATATATACAACAGTACAAAATCTATTTAATATAAATGAGCATCCAATAATAATACCAGATACAGTTAGTTATTTTGGGGTGATGGATTTTATGGTTTTTATTATTTCAGTTTATATTTACCAAAGAATTTTACACCAAACAGTAATTTAACATCAATAACAACTAAACCAATATGTGTTTATTTATATTGTAATCTTAATAATTTATTTTATCCTTATTTAAGTATTCAGGAAGTAATCCAAATTTAATGTGGAATAATATAAATATATATAATAATGGAGTATATCTTATAGAACCAAATTTACAAATAACAAATACATCATCTATTACAGAAATATGTCAAGGTTCTTCACTAAAAATATATATGTCATCCAAAGCTGTTTCTAATTTTACAGATTATAAAACATAAATTATTAATTCATTAGGAAGAACTACTACAACTACAATTTATGATATTTTTGAATCAAGTACTGTTTATAATAATTATAATTCTAGAAACGATTAATGGTAATTTTCAAAACACTAATTCTAACTGTAATATAAAATAATATTCAGAATCAATATTGATTATATTATTTTTGTAATCAGTAAACCATATTTTTAATTTTGTTTATTGTCTTTGATTTCAAATGATTTTTGATTATCACTGTTAGCAAAAATTATAAATCCATCTTGTGAAGGATAATCATTACTAGTATTCAAATCACTTCTTAAAATATTTCCACAATCAATCTGACCATATGAATTATAGAATCTGGTAGCAATAGTATTAATACATTTATTATTAGTAGAACAAACAAATTCAATTGGTAATTCAACTTCAAATTGATATGTATTTATTACTTTGCAATTATTATTATGTAAATTCATGTATAATTTTCTCATTTTATAGAACAAAAATAAAACTAATATATAATTTATTTAACTGCGATACCAGCTTTTAACGCTTCTTTAGTTACTAATTTATCAAGTTTATATTGTGCTTTTGATCTAAGTTCTGCAATATCTTTTGTTGTATTAATTTCTTTTGATGATTTTTTCATTTCTGAGATAAGAATACTGTTCTTTTTCTTATTCATAATATCTGTATAAATTTGATTTAAATATTTTTCACTCATTGATATAAATTGTGTTGATATTTGGAATATTAGTTTTTAATTTATTTATCAAATCTTTTTAATCTGCATAACTGTTAGCAAAAGATGATGAAATACCTTTTATTATTTGTTTAAATATTACTGTATTAGCTTCATTATTAATAATTCCAGGTAATAATGAAGACATTAATTGATCAGTAATTTTTTATACCAATTATCACTTTTTATGAAATTTAATTATACTTTAAATACCGGTGATAATATATTTTCTCCAAAAAGTATTGAATTAATTACATTTCTAATTACTTGACTACCTAATGAAATATATTCAGGATTTAAAATTTTAGATAAATATTCTCTAATTTTATAATCTGTAGTATTAAGTTATTTTGAAAATCCACTACCTTGACCAACTCTTACATATCCTTCAACATTATCAGAGACTGGTAATAGTCCTAGATAATTTAAATAAGGAACTTCTTTTCTTTGACATTTATTGTATTGGTCATAATAATTCTTTTAATATGGTCTTTGTGAATTACCTGGTTTTGAAACATAAAATTCATTAAAAGCTTTAATACAATTTGTATTGTCTACTCCAACATAATCATCAATTTGATCTCCATCCAAATCATACTTATAAGGAGTTAAATTATTATTGGCACAATAAACACGAAAAGCTTTTGGGTCTAAATGTTCTTTATTGTATTTAAATTGATATTTATCACTAGCAAGATCTGTACCGCCTAAATTTAGATATTTAGCACTAACATCACCTGTTTCCATAGTTGAAAAATCGATAACATCTTGATTATCATATCCCTTTTTAGTTCCAAAATTATCAATTTTTGGTGCTAATTTTGTTATGCCATATCCTTTGTCATAAAATTCTTTACTCATTTATTATGAAAAAAATTAAAAATTTGAAGACAAATAATTTATCAATCATGTCTACTAAAAGTCTTTTCTAATAAATATCTAGATACAATTTTAGATTCGTAATTATCATTATCTTCATTATAAATTTCATAATTATTTCCATATGGAAAGGCAATTTTCCAATTTTTAGAATCAATATATTTATTATTTTTTCTCAAATTTCCATCTTCAACATCAAATAAAATAACAACTTCCTCATTGTCAAAATCATATTTTGATTTTTTTAATTTATTTTGTATTTTTTGATTATAATGTTGACAATATGATATAATTATTCTCTCTAACATTTTATCATTTTGTATCTTATTTGGTGTTATATATTTTGGATCAATATAATAAAAATTACATAATTTTTTACATTCTTAAATTATTTTTACTAAACCATTATGACAACTATTATTATAATATTCAACCAATTTATAAACTTCTTCTGTAGTAGGTGTTGGTGTGATTTTAGATTTATCTCCTTCATTAAATAATTGACGTATTTTAGTCGTATATTGAAGTAATTCTTTTAGTTTCATGTTTTGAAATGATCTAGAATTAATTATATTTTTATATTCATCATCATTTTAAATATAATATTTGACGTATAACCTTCTAATAGTTCTACATAATTATCAATTAATGCTGTACTTGTATGTATCTTAGGTGCTGTAACAAATAGTATAAAATTGTGTTTATTTGCATATTCACCAAATTCTAAAGAAGATATTCCTCTTTCTCCATCAAATATTAAATTATTCATAATTAAACCTTGTTCAAATAATTTATCAAAACCTTCAATTATTGAAATAGTGGATTTATCTTCAATTTTAATAACATAACTATATCTGGTATTAACATTAATGCCAATAATATATGGGCTTAATGGAGTATTTTTATGTATTCTGTGATCAAAATCTATTTTTACAGATGGTTTATCATATTTTTGTTGAGATACTCGTTTATATTTATCAGAAAAAATATAAAATATCGAACATATATGTATTGGGTAAAGCAACAAATTTATAAGCAATATTCTAATTGTAAAATGAATATTTAGGTGGTGATGGTTTAAAATTATTAGAATAAATTATATCTTTGTTATTATAATAAGTATAAATATTTTTATCTAATGATAGAACATATTGATTCATATCTACATTAAATAATTGTTTGATTGTTCTATCTTTTTTAATATAATTAATCGGTGGATAAGTAGCTATGGTAGTAGTTGTACCTTGTGGATTAATAGTTGGTTGTGGTCTTATTTCAGCATTTAATTCTAATTCTGTAGATTGAATTATTTGTTTATCTTTTGATTTATGTGTATTTAATTATTTGTTAATTTCATGATAACCAGTTGGAACTTGCATTTTAGTTATACTTGTATTTATACTTCGTTTGTTATTAATGTATATAACATATATATCATTTAATAATTTTTGTGTTCTATTATTACTAATAATAAAATAATAATAAATACCAGTATAAAAAATTTTAAATTATGTTTTGAGTCAGTATTAGGATGAACCCCATATAATTTATCTCTATTATTATATGCATATTCTATTTTATTTTTATAAGTATTATAAAATTTAGATAATTCTTGTTCCTTTGAAAGAGACATTTATATTTTTTAAAATAAACCTAATTCAGTTTTAAATTTAATGTTTCTACAGAATTGAGATATCGATTTAATTCTAAAATCTTTAGTAAATTCAAATGATAGTCTAAATTGTAAAAGATTAAATTTAAATGATTCTCCATCATATAGTTTCTTATATAATTCTAACGGATCTTCATATTGACAATTTAATAAAATATTATGAATATCTTTTAATCTAAGATGATGAGCGACTTCATTCTTCTCATTAGATAATTTATCACAATAAGCCTTTTTACCTAAGAAATATGATTCAATACTAGTAACATCTCCAGATAATTCATCAAAATCTGGATGAAATTGTCCCATATCAGAACCTCTAAGTACTCTATTATATTTTTTAAAATATTCATCTTCTAATTCAGTAATTCTTGATTTTAATATATGCATACTATCGGTATCTTGATAATAAATTGGAATATTTAGATCTTCTGCTAAACACATAACTTCATTCATAATACGTTTTGACATAGTAAGAGTTTGAACTCCAATAAGATTTGGAACAAAAAAATCATCAAAACTTTTATTACATTCAAAGCATCTAATATTTTCAGCAACATCATAAAATGATTTGACTAATAACGAGTTCTTTTTTAAATATCTATCAGCATCATACTGAATATCTCCTTTCTTATTTTTAACAGATATTTGTTTATAAACAAGATCAGTTTTAATGGGTTTTTGAATAGTCTTACCATATGATGAATTCATAATTAACTTAAATACTTCTTGAACTGGATTACCTTGTTTTTTGAAATCTCTTCTTAAATTATACAATTTAGACATCTCGTTAGATAATAAGTCAGACTTATTACCAGTCCAATAATAGCCTCTAATTATTTTATATTCAATCTGTTGAAATTTAATAATATCTTCTAATAATATATTATCTACTCTCATATTAAAGGGTTCATTACTTTTGTGATTTCCTTCTTTAGTCTTTTTAACAATCAATGGAAAATGTAATTCTTTTTTTTTCTTTTGTAATTTCAATATCAACAATAAATACTGAAATAAATTATAATTCTGTAGGCTCTAATTGTTGTTCTTCCATTAAATGTTCTAATAAGTAGTTATTTTGTAACATGTCTTCAGTAATAACAATTGGAGAACCAGTTGCTAATTTTTATCTATTAATAGCTGAAGGATATAATGAACAAGCATCATAATCATATAATTCATCATTTACATACCACTTTTTATTATCTCTAGTCATACATCTACCTCCATAAATAGCTCCTTGAATAAATTCTCTAACTTTACCACCATATTCTTTTAAATTATTTATCTTTGAATATACATTATGTTTGAAATAAGTATTAGCTAAAGAAGCTGCTGAAATTACTTTATCGACATCAATATTTAAATATTCTAAACACATATCTCTAAATATAGAATGACCTTGTTTTAAATTTTTAACATCTTGATTACAGTAGAAAACACAATAAGCTTTCATATCAGATTGAAATTCATAAATTTTACAATTTTCAATTTTATCAATCTTTTCATTAAATAGTTCAAATTGTTCTTCAGTCCATTGTTTTATTTCATATTTATCAGCTTCTAATATAGTACCAATATTATTTTCGATATTAACCTTATTGAAATAGTTATATGGATAAATCTCTTTTTGAATATTAGATAAACCAAACATCTTTGGAAAAGATGCTAATGATGTAGAAATTAAAGCATGAGAATCTTTAAAAGTTAATTGTTTACCTTTGATTTTTAATGTCATTTGCATATTTTTACCGCCTTTCTTAATACATCTATTAACATTATATTTAGCTAAGGATGAACCATCATATTTAAGATTATGGAAATAACAAACAGCATTATGAGGTAAATCACATAAAAAATTATAAGCACAATATTTACCATATTTGTTATAAATATTATCTTCACCTCTTTTAGAATAACAAACACGATATGGATTATGATAACCTTGAGTACTAGCTTCAAAATCAGCATACCAATAAGAATGATTTACTTCTTTACGTTTATTTACCTTTACTTAAATATTTCTTGTTTCAAAAGGTAAATAATTAAATGTATTTAATGATTGTAATACATATTCAGATAAATCTGATTTCAAATGTAAAACATCAGAAAGAGAATAAGGTTCAAATCTATTATGATCTCTAATATAAAGAATTAGATCAGATAATTTGATAGAACTGCTATTTTTATCTTTAACTTCATAACATTGTTTATCTCTATTATATCGTTGTTTATTAAACATAGATTCTATACTTTTATTATGATCAATTGCATATTTATTAATTTATTCTCTATTCTCAAGATAGAAACAAGTAATAGGTATATCGATATTTAATAAATAATGATCTCCCTTCATAACCGAATCACAATATATAAACATTTCTGAATTATATTTAGCATCTTTGAGTTCACAACCATAATAATCTATTTTTTATTCTTATGTGAATTTGTTTTATCTGTATTCTCTCTATCAATTCTTATTCTAATATGAGCAGATTTACATAATTCATTCAACAATTTAGCTTTTTTATAACAACCTCTACAATGAATTAATACTAATTCTAAAGTTTCATTATCAACTTTAGCTTGTTTTAAATCATAACAGAAACAATTTAAATCAAATTCTGATCTAACCTTTCCATTTTTATTAAATAATGAACTGAATATTTGTGCTTTAGTAAGATATTTCCAAATATACTAAATTCTTCTTTATATCTGTATGAGAAGAAAGAACCACCTGTAGTTTATATGGATGAATAAGATCTTCTTCGTAATGATATGGAGAAATTTTTAATTCAAGTAAGAATAGTGGTTCTGGGATAGTTTGTTGAACATATAACGTAGAATCTATACCATCATTAATTTCTTGTTTATTAATAAAACCCATAGATTCTTCAGATACTGAACTAAGAAATTTATCAATTGCGTCTTGAGTATTTAACATATAAGATTTCCATCCATCTTGACTAAGTAAATATTTATAAACTATTTCAGTGGTAGAAGGAACTGATTTAATTAAATCGATAAAATACTCTCTTACTAATTGAATTCTTCTTACTTTATCTCTAAAACCGCATCTAAGATCAGCATTAATTATTTTATTTTCTTTATCATATGTTACTTTAGAATTAATTTCAGAATTGTCATTAATATCTTCTATCATTTTGTTATATTCTTCCACATTATCATTATAAAGTTGTTGTTGTTCTAATTCTTTTATCATATCATTATAATTATCATATTGTTTTCATATTGTTCTTTTTCTTTTAATTCATTAAAATAATTTTTTCTTTCAGCGTTAATTATTAATTCTTCATTAAATTTTTGATACATATCTTCTCTCATAAAATCATCATTGTCTTCAATATTATCAAAAGAAATATTATTTAAAACCCATTCTAAATTCTTTTTATTAAGTTCTTTTTCATCATCTAAATCTTTAATTAATGTTGCTTTTTTATAATTAAACCAAAAGTTTGTTTGTTGGTTTTGTTTAATTTATTGAAAACTTTTGTTAAAAATGGTTGTTCTAATTTCATAGAACTTTTCTTATTGTCTTCAATTCTTTTTAATTGAGATTCCAATTTTGCTTTATAGTAATATAAATCTCTTGTAATAATTCCCATAGCAATTAATTCTTTTCTACATTCTTTGTTATTAATTGTAGTAGATGCTGCTTTAATAGTTCCTGCTTTAATTGTAAAACGATCCAAAATATCTTCTTCGGAATAGTTATTAGTAAATTGATAAAAATTCTTAAATATGTATTCTTGTATGGTGCTTATTTTAGGGAAAAAAATGAAAAATTAAAAATATGTTTTTAAAATTTGGAACTCTTTAATCCCGATTTTGGGGGAAAATCAGATTTAGTTAAAATAATATAAAATATAGATTAAAATGATCTCCCCCTAAATCAACATAATTTATATACTACTTCTTTTTTATCTTTTTTTTCGGCAATTTTTTGAAAAACAAGAACAAAAAGGAAGGGTTTTAAGAATTGACCAATCAAAAATAATTTTTTTGAAACCCTTGTTTTTACATTTTACTTTCATTTTTACATGTCCACTTTCACCCTTCACGGTCTCCAGAATTGGGGGGAGGTCGAACACTTGGGTTTTCCAAAATTCGATAAAACTTGGTTTATTTTTTAATAATTATTAGTAAGAAATTGATTATAATTACTTTTTTCTATTTTTTGGGAAAACAAGAAAAAAAGAGTATAAAGATTATCGAAAATTGTAAATGAATAAAAGAAATGGCAAAATAACAAGCATTTCGAGGCAAAATAATAATTTGGTAAATAATTAAAAAAAAATTCCATTTTACAATGGAAAAAATAAGAGAATGGACAAAACCTATAAAAATTACCCTTTTTTAAAGTGAAATTTAATACTATAATTTATAGTAAATATACTATACAATATTTTGTTTGATTTGGCCATGATTATACTAATATTTTGGGATTTGATCAATGGCAAATGAGAAACAATTTATGAATTCAAAACAGACATAATATGGTGATTAATATTTAGTTTTGTCACAACATCACAATTAGAAATAAATGTGCTTTTTTCAAAATAATCTTTGGTAAATTAAACGCGTTTTAATAATTATTATATTTTTAAGATGGCGTTTTTGTTTTTTGTCCCAGAAAGTCAGTAATATTCATATTGTCTTGTGAAATGTAAAGAAGAAAACCATTTATCAAACATTTTTAGAAAATAATTCATACAATTATTTTTGTAAAAAAATGTTTTACAAAAATAATGACATAATATGAGCGCATTTTATGTAACTTCTTAATGGAGTAAAAAATAGTTATTATCATCATTAATATTTTGTTTTGTTTATCGGGTTCAATAGGATATAAAACAATATGGTATTTATTAAATACAAAGTCGGGAATAATCAATTACCAAGCAATGCCACACAATACACAAAATGGTAATTGTTTGTTTCAATAAAGTTGAAATGTAACAATAAATGCATTTTTGGATTAACAAATACACATTTATATTTAAATTAATATGATTTGGACTTTAATATAATTTGATTAATCATAGTCTAATACTTTTATTGTTTTGTTATAGTTAAATAATATATAAACCCATAATTTTTGAAAATCAATGGTAATTCAATTCAAAAGGATGAAAAAATATAAAGAGTAATTGAATTGTGTTTATGGTTGGTTTGGTTCGAATTGTTTTCAGAATTTTAATAATTACAATAAATATAATATGTTAATCAATAATAATAAATTCGATTTGTGTTAAATAAAAATGAACTTATAACAATCTACACAATAAAACAATAAAAGTTATAGAAATCAATTCCATTTATTTTAATATTTTTAAACCATCTATGTTTCAACTTTATTTACAATTTGAATTTGTTGTGTTTTTCCCCAACTATTACGTCGAATGATCTTATTATAATAAATGTTTAACCCTTGTAAGCTTGATATGCATGACTAAGTAATGCATTTTTTACTACACAAATGTGTAAATTTTAAATATAAATAGGTGACAATATTATAAATAATAACATTAAAAATATTTGTTATGGTAAAAATATAATATTTTTATTATTATGTATTTGATTGTTTTCCAAACAGAAATGCATTTTTAAGTAAAATAATATTTTTACATTTTAAAAACAAAATTATTTTTAATAAAGTAGTATATAAATTATGCGGATTTAGGGTGGACAACATTTTAACTATATTTTCTAATAATTTAACTAAAATCGCGAGGACGCGTTTTCAAATCGTTTTCAAATTTTCCCAAAATTTAGAAAACTTTTATTTTAAAAAATAAAATTGAAAACGTAACTATTTATTTTTCTAAAAAGTTTCATTTGAAATTTCATTTTTTATTTTCTAAGAAAGGATGAGTGTTGACGGATTTATAAATTTAAATACTATATCTGATACAGATTATAATAATAGAACTAAATATTTTATTTCCAAATATTATTTTGGACAAGATGATTACTCACAATATATAAAAGATATTATGAATTATGTTTTAAAACAAGATTCTTCTAGAAAACAATATTTAAAAAAGATTTATCGATCTGCATTAGAATATTTAGATTTATTAATTAAATATCATGAATTTGACGAAAAAGAAGATATATTAAAATATTTCTACAATGATGATTTCTATTATGATGATAGACATAATAAAATTAATGTTAAAAACTTTTTTAATAGAGTTGTATTCTCAAAAATGAGTAATTATATTGAGCCGCTTTCGAGCCCACTTCCATTTGATTAATTTCTTTGATTTTTTATAACAAAATTAAATAACATAACTAAAACCTTCAAAAGGGCTATTTTTTTTTGGTTTTAAAAATTCCATGAATTATTTTTGAAATGTGAAATTTCATTTTTTTTTATTTCTAAGAAAGGATGTGTGATAACAACGAGATTAAATTTGAAAATAACATTGTTAATAAATTAGAAGAAGATTCTAAATATGAAATTATAAGTTTCAAACCAATTAAAACTAAATTTGGAAATACTTATATAATTAAAACTAAAGATCATAAAAAATATTATGTTAATACAAAGATAAGTAAATATATTACAAGATTCAAAACACAATTTAAGAAATATGAAGATAATGATGAAAATAATAAAGTTTTCATGATTATTAGAACAGATAAATACAAAGAATTTGAAAATGATAGAGGAGAAACAATTAAATTCTTAGAATTGAATATTGTTTCTAGATAAATGAGTGAAATTTCATTTTTTATTTTTAGTAAAATGAACGATATTAATAAAACACTAGAAATAATTATTCTTCAATTAATTGAAATAAATAAGAAATTAGATATATTAATTCAGAAAGAAAGTAAACGGGACATAGTCCAGAGGACCGTAGATACTGTTGTAGTATCAGAAAAGAAACATTTAAAAGTGACTTCGAAAGAAGGAAAACAAATAATACACAAATTTATTAAAGAACGTAAAGAAGATATATTCAATCTTCCTATTAATAAACGTAATTCATTCGTAAGAGAAGAATTATTAAAATTAGATGTCGAAGCATCTTATAACTGTATTGCTAAATTACTAAAAACATTAACAACTAATTCTGAATAAATATTATATTAAATGAGTCTTAACAATTATGCTAATTATATGATACAAAAACATGCTCCTAATCAAGATGAAACAACTATGAATATTATTCATCCAGAAGTTTTTGTAAAACATAGATCTATAAACCT